GACTAATCCAGATGCAAAGCAATTTCGTTATAATGGACTACAGTATGCAAATGAGTTAAAAGTTTTGTTTGATAGTTTTAGAGTAACTGGAAAAAATTCATGGGGTCCATCGAAGGAAGGGTTGCCAACGGATATGGTCGGCTCGCAGTCACAAATACCAATTAATCTTGACTTTGAATCTGTTGAGATACCTTCTTCACCAAAGGATGTGACAAAACAAGACAATAAACGTCCAAAGAAAAGTAAACATAGTGACCTTGATGAACAACTATTTGAAGTTCTTAAAACATTACAAAATGCCGATGGACCAAGTATAGAAGAATGCAATCATATTTTGGATGAGATGCAGCTTTTTTAAAATGAGTGATCCATTGTATTCTGTTGCGTGTAGTGTTTTTTGTGAGAGTAAAGCACACAGGGAGCAGTGGATGTTATTACGTCAAAAACCAGAAGTAGTTAGAAAGACGTGGATAGAAATGAATGACAAGAAACTAAAGTTGCTTTGAATTTTAGGAATAACTAAAAGTTATGAGTATTATTTTTATGGGAAGAATTTATGACTTTTTTGAATGTGAAAGATTGTTTAAATTTATTTGTTTTATAATTTTTGCAATAGTTTCATTAAGTATATCATGCATTGATGGCATTGTTATTGTTGAAATTATCTGTAGTGATTTTTGAATGTTAATTATTTTGGAAGCTGACATATATAAGTCAAATTGTCTTATGTTAGACTGATTAGATTTTATTAATATTGTCCAACAGCATGTTGTCTGAAAAACAGAAACGTACAATGAAGGTTGTTGTAACTTCTTTGATATTCAAAATATTGAGGAAAAAACATGTTGGACAGAAGCCAGACACTGATGGTTTGCTTCGTGGGTCTGGATATTTAAATAAAATACTTTATGGAAATCCAAGACATTGTTAAGAGATGTTAAGGATGAAAAAAGAAGTTTTTATATGTTTATGTGGTCATTTTAGAAATATAGGGTGGCTTGAAGATAGTCGTTATGTATCCATAGAAGAGAAGATGGCAATGTTTCTCATAACATTAAGTCATAACATAAGAAATCGTTTTGTGAAACGAAGATTCAATCATCCAACACAAACAATACATAAATACTTCCATGAAGTATTATATGCTATGCTCCATTTTTCAAAAGAGATGATTGTCCCAACAACTATGAATTCAGTCCATCACATAAGTCATCACCGTTGGCTCAAAGGAATTTTTAAGGTATTTTTTCGTTTTATTTTAACTTCATAAGATATATAATAATTTACAACTTTTTAAAATTCTAACATTTATACTAAAATATTTATTTTTGAAAGGGTGCAGTGGTGGGTACACTTGATGGAACTCTTATTTCTGCTGTTATACCACCAGACGAACAAGTTTCATACAAAGGAAGAGGCAAAGGAGAATGTTTTCAAAATGTACTTGCTATATGTGATTTTGCCCTTGTGTTCACATTTGTCTAGGCAGGTTGGAAAGGGATAGCACATGACTCAAGAGTTCTAAAAGAAACTATGAGTGATCCAGCTAATAATTTCTGAATTCTTCCTCCAGGTTAGATGAAAATATTTAATTAATGTTACAAAATATTTATGTAGATAATTTATTTTATATTATTCGTGCAGATAAATACTTTTTATGCGATGCGGCATATACAAATTATACGTGGATTTATGTCACCCTATCGTAATGTGCAGTATTGGTTGTCTAATTTTCAAAATCTCCGTCCAAGAACAAAAGAAGAGTTATTCAACCAAGCACATGCTAAGTTAAGAAATGTAATTGAACGTGTTTTTAGAGTATTGAAAGCTCGTTTTTCGATATTAAAAAAGATATCATATTTTGTTGCTGCATAAAGGAATATTGTAATTGCTTGCATAAGCATACACAATTTTATACGACAAACCCATATCACAGATGCTTTTTTGGACCAGTTTAGTGATGTCAATGCTGCTTATGGCAATCCCCATCAAAATTTGCATACTTCAACTAGCTTGGAAGCTGGAGGAGGAAGGACACAAGCTAATCAAATTTTTATGCTCAATTTGCGTGAACAAATTGCTCAACAACTAAACTCTTCATTTGTATCCTAGTTGTAATTTTTAAAATTTATGACAATTGGTAGTTATACGTGATTAATTTAACTTAAATTAATTTTATTATTATGTTTGTTAAATGTAGACTACAATATGATAATAGTGATTATGATTTATGCTATGAATTAAATTGATTTGATGTATTGTCATTTTTTATTAGAAAAACTCATTTTATATAAATATTTTTATATTAAAGAGTGGAAGGGTTAAACTGGAAATTAATTTATTTTCAGCCGTCAGCTCTGTATAGTTATCAAACAGTTTGATTTAATTCAGTACTTAAATTTCAGTGGATACCAAACAGTCCACAAATTCAGCATTCAGCTTTCAATTTTAACAAACACAACCTAAACAGAGCACTCACAAATTGATTAATCAAATAGAGCAAATAACAAATTGATTAATCAAATAGAGCAAATAGCAAATTGATTAACAAAACAAATTGATTAACTAGAGCATTTATTACAAAACAAAGCATTCAACATCATCTAATCATAACAAGACAGATTACCATATTAATTACTCAGATGACATGATCGAATAAAAATCCTTTTTTGCGTTCCAATTCATAATTCAAAGCATACGATTTTTGAATAAAGTAAAAAACAAAATTAGTTGAAATAATCACGTCGTCTAAATAGAAAGACACTAACATTTATGGATAGCAAATGTGGATTCGAGTCCCACCGTCATTGATTAATATCACCACTAAATTGGTTGATGTTAAAGAAGGCGGAGGAGGAGGAAAAAATTAAAAAAATACAGTGAAGCGTTCGTTTTCTCGTCTAGCTCACTTCTTCACCTTATCGCCTAAACTCATTTTTTTCTTATTTTACTAAACCTCGCTTCACCTGAGCTGTTCAAGGTGATCAATACTCGCTTTGTTTAGCTTCTGGCCTAGGCTCGCTATTAACAACACTAGTTCAGCGTGACGTCAAAGCCTTCTTCACTCTTGAAGCCTTCTACAAAAATAAAAATAAAGTCATTTGAAGTGTACTAACATTTCACTGAATCTATCATGGCCTTCCTTTTTATATATGCATATACAATCTCTCTAATTCAAAAGGGAGATATTTTGCATATATAAAGCTCTAAAAAATTAAAGTAGTGCTTCATAAGCGAGGCGACATCTCAAGTAGCCTTCACAGAGATCCATTACAATCCCGCAAGAGCCCTAAAATCTTATCTTTCTCGATTTTCACTCATGTAAGAAAAAGTGATAAGGCTGGTGTGAAGCAACAACCTATCCCCTTCAATCAAACTAAAGTAAGTTAGAGCCCTTTCCAGCTTCTTTCTCAAAATAAAGAAGGATTTCGCCTTTATTGAGGAGAGATTAATGCACTCAACGTTACTAAGCAAACATAGGCTTGGGCTCAAAAAGCAAGATGCAACCAATTAAGCAACTTGCGCAAAAGTCCTTGCTCGTTAACGCTTTAATTTGATTGCACCTAGCACCTTTCCATTTTCTCGCTTTTGTTCTCCAATAAGAAGGTAAGCTTCAAAGCTACTGTTTTCCTCTAACTAACACTACACTAAGAGAAAATCCAAACATCTTTGAAAATATATCCTTTTAAAAATTGGAATTACAAATGATGGTATATTTGGTAACGTTTTCGTTTTTATGTTTTAAAAAAAAACTAATTTTTATTTTTTCTTTTATAAAAATTAAAAATATAAGACATGTTTGATAGGCATTTATATTTAAAAAATTGTGAAAACAAAAATAAAAAAATATATTTGGTATTATATCAAAAATCCATCACCTAACACCACCAACCACCCCCTAAAACCCACCACCGAAACCCACCACCAACAACTACCCAAAACCCACCACCAAACCCCATTACAAACCCTACAACCAACCGCCACCCAAAACCCACTGCCAAACTCCATTGCAAAATCCACCACCAATAACCATCAAAACCCACACCTAATAACCACCGAAATCCACCACCCAACCCCACTTCAAAACCCACCAACAACCACTGAAACCCACCACCCAACCGTTGAAAACCCCTAATCAACCATAAACAAATCTTGTAAATTCCAACAAAGAGAGGAGCGAGAGATCCAAAATGTTCCCCTATCATTCGTTGGAGTGAAGTCGGAGAGAGTCAGTGATGACAGTTGCGCAGGAAAGAAAGAGAGAGAGAGCGAGTGGGGGGATATATGAGGTCTTTATATATGTGCCAAAAAAAAATCTTGTCTGTTGCTAACAAAACTCGAAGGTTGGCCCTCATTAAAGTCATTCCAACGCCTCCTACATGTTTCCATTTTGGATGTTTTCAAATTTTGTCTTGGTTTTCAAAACGGAGCAACAACAAAAAAGAACACATTCACAAAAAATATATATATATATATGTATATATATTTTTTACAAAAAAATGAAAACAAAAACAAAAAAAAATGCCCTATTACCAAACGCAACCTAAATGTCCTACATCTTTATCGATGTCTTCAACAACTCCCCCCCCCTTTTTTCTTGAAAATGTGTTGCATCTTATTACCTACGATCTGATAAACACAACTGCTAGACAACTAAGTTGATGATGAAGTGAATGTAACTCTTTGAGAGATGCTAGAGCATTTTGTGTGCTAAAGCCTCAATTATAAACTCCTCCACATAATTCTTGAGAAACCTACGGAAAGTCCCCCCTCTTGCAAAAACATTCCAAAAATATGCCACCTCTTGAACTGCTAAAGAACCCCTGTTGAACATTTCATAAATCTGGGTATTTGCATGAGGCAAAGATCCGAAGGCCCACCTCCATATCCTTGAACCCATGTGCATCAAAAATTAAAGAAATGCAATCCAGCCCATATGATTGCTTTGCTCAAAATCCACGTTACACCAGAATTTTAAGGTTCCATGTTGTAAGCTTGAGTCATCTGATATGTGAAACGAGAGCACTAAAACGACGTCGTATAGCTATCTATAAAAGGCAACCCAAGGAAGAATGCTAAAAAATCCTTAAGCACGAACATTTTTTGTTGACTACAGTAAAAAAACAAAATCCAAGATGTCATACCTTTATCACATCACGACTAAGATCATTAACATTCTCCACACACACTGTAATTTTCTTTCCTTTTGCAGGAATAGAACCACCAGGTTTTACCTGCAACAAAAAACATAATTTCATCTGAATATGGGAAAACACAATGAAACAACACTACTGGAACCCAGAATCACCAATGAATTACAACCCACCTCAGAGTTGCGATAACCACAAGTATCACAAGAGGCGGCCATGACAATTACTTCTTGGAAGTATGGAATGTCTGTATATTGTTAAGCTCATCAAATGAACAGTATTTGGTACAATTACCAAGACATAAATAAAGGAAAAAATTGTTGCCACAATTTTTATTCCTGACATAAACTCTGCTTCATATACAGTGTTAATCTGCCCATAAAACTCTGCTTCACAAAAAATATTTATTTTTACTGGAAAAAAAGTGCATAGCTCAAGAAAGGCCAGCTAAAGTACAAGAACACCTCCTCTAACCTCCTAAGCATAGTTATCAAATCGTATATCGGAAGGCGTATCGTAAGATACAAATATTGTATCGTAAGATACGGTGCAATTTTAAATAAATAATAATAAAATATATATATACCTTTAAAAAAAAGTCATACACTCATAAAAACATAGCATTTCATTAATACTCCACCAACTATTCAAATCATCAACATAATCTACTACTATTATAATGCAAAGTTCACAACCATAGTTCACTAATTCAAACTTTAAACACCAAAGAGACTTCTAATCCAAATTTCTAACATCCATTTTGAACTTGATCTTCAATTTCAATTGAAAATGCATCATCATCATCATTGTGATCGGATGTCAACAAGTCTTCACTTCCTTCATCTTCAACTTCTTGTATTTGTTCATCCTCATCTTCATCCTCATCTTCAAGTTGAACTATTTGCTTTCCTTTTTTCTTGTTTAAAATAAAATTTCTAGGCCCTACAAAGCAATCAATACAAAATATAAAAAAAAAAAATTCAAAGTAATGGAGAAGAAGAAAAAACAACCACTACATTTTAATTACCTCTATTTCTCTTTTTGCTAGTCCCTTCTTGAACCTCAAAACATTCACCAACATTCATCCAAGCAGTGTCCTCAGGAAGTAGTGCATCTTCTTTTTCAGTGATCCACTCATCATCAGATTCCATATCTGAGAGAGAAACAGGATCATAGGAATCACCTTCTAGTATTCTCTTTTGGTGTCTTGCCTCCAATTGAAGATTGTACTTCACAAACACAAATGCACTTAATCTTTGCTGCTCTAATCGATTTATCCTCTTAGAGTGCACCTGGTCAAATGTACTCCAATTCCTCTCACATCCTGTGGCACTACAAGTCAAGCTAAGGACGCGGGTAACAAGTTGTTGCAACTCTGGACAACATCCTCCAAATGATTCCCACCACAAGGCTATAAAAAATTACAATAGAATACTCCATTAACTAACTTAAGCAGTTGCATTCAAATAACTAACTTAAGTTAGGTTACCACTAACCAGGTTGTTTCTTCTTCCTCATCTGCATTGTCATGTCCATTCCAAACATCAAATCAGCATTATGAAAGATATCTAATTGTTTATCAACTTTTTCTCTCACAATAGGACTTGGGCACATTCTCTGAATGGTCAGATAAAGTCTCATTTTTATCTCATAGTCCGCACTACCGGTGTAATGAAACCTAAAATAGTTATTCTGATTTACAATGATCATTGATCAGTATACAATATATAGATATAAAATGATATAAAAAATGAGAAAATTAAATCTTATGCGGGATTGAGATAATAGGCAGCTGCGTGAAGAGGTCTGTGTAANATCCAAGACATTGTTAAGAGATGTTAAGGATGAAAAAAGAAGCTTTTATATGTTTATGTGGTCATTTTAGAAATATAGGGTGGCTTGAAGATAGTCGTTATGTATCCATAGAAGAGAAGATGGCAATGTTTCTCATAACATTAAGTCATAACATAAGAAATCGTTTTGTGAAACGAAGATTCAATCATCCAACACAAACAATACATAAATACTTCCATGAAGTATTATATGCTATGCTCCATTTTTCAAAAGAGATGATTGTCCCAACAACTATGAATTCAGTCCATCACATAAGTCATCACCGTTGGCTCAAAGGAATTTTTAAGGTATTTTTTCGTTTTATTTTAACTTCATAAGATATATAATAATTTACAACTTTTTAAAATTCTAACATTTATACTAAAATATTTATTTTTGAAAGGGTGCAGTGGTGGGTACACTTGATGGAACTCTTATTTCTGCTGTTATACCACCAGACGAACAAGTTTCATACAAAGGAAGAGGCAAAGGAGAATGTTTTCAAAATGTACTTGCTATATGTGATTTTGCCCTTGTGTTCACATTTGTCTAGGCAGGTTGGAAAGGGATAGCACATGACTCAAGAGTTCTAAAAGAAACTATGAGTGATCCAGCTAATAATTTCTGAATTCTTCCTCCAGGTTAGATGAAAATATTTAATTAATGTTACAAAATATTTATGTAGATAATTTATTTTATATTATTCGTGCAGATAAATACTTTTTATGCGATGCGGCATATACAAATTATACGTGGATTTATGTCACCCTATCGTAATGTGCAGTATTGGTTGTCTAATTTTCAAAATCTCCGTCCAAGAACAAAAGAAGAGTTATTCAACCAAGCACATGCTAAGTTAAGAAATGTAATTGAACGTGTTTTTAGAGTATTGAAAGCTCGTTTTTCGATATTAAAAAAGATATCATATTTTGTTGCTGCATAAAGGAATATTGTAATTGCTTGTATAAGCATACACAATTTTATACGACAAACCCATATCACAGATGCTTTTTTGGACCAGTTTAGTGATGTCAATAATGCTTATGGCAATCCCCATCAAAATTTGCATACTTCAACTAGCTTGGAAGCTGGAGGAGGAAGGACACAAGCTAATCAAATTTTTATGCTCAATTTGCGTGAACAAATTGCTCAACAACTAAACTCTTCATTTGTATCCTAGTTGTAATTTTTAAAATTTATGACAATTGGTAGTTATACGTGATTAATTTAACTTAAATTAATTTTATTATTATGTTTGTTAAATGTAGACTACAATATGATAATAGTGATTATGATTTATGCTATGAATTAAATTGATTTGATGTATTGTCATTTTTTATTAGAAAAACTCATTTTATATAAATATTTTTATATTAAAGAGTGGAAGGGTTAAACTGGAAATTAATTTATTTTCAGCCGTCAGCTCTGTATAGTTATCAAACAGTTTGATTTAATTCAGTACTTAAATTTCAGTGGATACCAAACAGTCCACAAATTCAGCATTCAGCTTTCAATTTTAACAAACACAACCTAAACAGAGCACTCACAAATTGATTAATCAAATAGAGCAAATAACAAATTGATTAATCAAATAGAGCAAATAGCAAATTGATTAACAAAACAAATTGATTAACTAGAGCATTTATTACAAAACAAAGCATTNAATTTATACAAAAAAAATATATATACATTTGGCTTTGTAAATAAATTAATATTATTTCTCACTGCACAGAACCAACAATCAATGGAGACTGGGAAGAAGAAGAAAAAGAAGGAGTACCTAGAGAAAGAAGAAGGTAGCGATCAACGATCACCCACAGTCGGAGACCAGCAATCACCCACAGACGAAGACCAGCAATCACCCACAGTCGAGACCACCCATAATCGATCACCACCCACAGTTGAAGACCACCCACAATCAATCACCACCCACAGTCGATCACTCGTCGTCGATGGCTAAAGAGAAACCAGAGGCCTCTGAGTCTCTGACTAGCGATGAGCGAAGGTCGAATATGAGAGAAATGAGGGTTTTTTTTTTTTGTAACCCTAACCACTAAAACGACATTGTTTCGGTGGTTATAGGGATTAAAAAAATAAAATCAGATCACAAAACGACATCGTTTTTAAAAAAAAAAAAATTTGCACGTATCGTGTATCGGATGATACAACGCAAAAACGATATATAACTACGATCCGTATCGTTTTAGGCCTGTATCGTAACATACCGTACGATACGTATCGCGTATCGTACGATACTAACAACTATGCTCCTAAGAGGATATGATCTAGCCTTCTAAAAGTGCACTACAATCAAGATCAAGCATTGCTTAATGCGTAAAATCATCTTTCGGACTGCCCAGCCCATACAAGATCCAACATTGAACCCCAGCTGCAACCCACCAAGATAACTTCCCAGAATTTAAAAATGGAACAGGGAATTTTACAATGCTTCCAAGTTCCCAAGCACAAAGGCAGTCTAATGTGGAGCATACTAACAAGCAGCATAATTCTGGAATTTTATGAATGAAACGCTTCAGAATGTCTGAGACAACGTTTAGTGTTATATCTTCTATGATGTTTAGGACTGATAAACCACTGAATTATTTTCTTTACGTTCTCTCTCTTTTGTCAGATATTTTAGAGGCAATTGTTCTTTACTCCTCCAATAATTGATGGACCTGTGCTGTATTTATAGGATACGGGTCATATGTTGGGTAAAATCAAGTTACTAGGTTGTCCTTCAAGTGTCTAGAATAGGCCTCAGTGTCGTGCGAAACAAAGAGTATCACCCTTTGTAATGGCACAAGCGTGTTGTACAATTAAAATTATTCTTGATAAGTAGATTTGACTATTTCTAGCTCTCTGGCTATAAATGGTCCTTTATGAGCTTTTAAAATATTTTCTAGGCCCTTACCACTGCCCCAGTCGTCATTTTTCGCCGCTCAGCATTATTCCTTCTGGAAACATTCTGTATTGCTAATAGACACCCTACACTGCAAACCCATGGATCTGTACAATGGACACATTTGCAGGCACTCGGGCAAGACACACATAAACACGGAATGTATAAGCATATACACGAGCCTAGCTTACGTACTATGAACAAATGTGCAAATATATGTAATGTACACACACTTACATATGTGGGTGAAGCTTATGCGTGCCATATGTATGCATATGACACACTAGCTTACATGTGTGCATATTATTATGGATACATAACTTCCTATATCCAATTCTACACATGTATACGGGAGAAAGGGAGGGAGGGAGGGAGAGACAGTCAAGACTCGAGCATGAGCATGCTATTCTCACTGTGGTAAAAGTTATCTTGAAGATTCACCTCACGTTTGAAAAGGAGAAGGAAAACTATGTAACAGATTTTGGAAGGAATACATCTTCAAAAAACTTGAGACCAATCACTAAGAATAATAAATGGTTGGCCAAAAGAAGCCACGCAAACATAGGTCATTTTAAATGATCCGTGATATCCAAATTAAAAAAGGAACAAAACCATTCAGCCATGTTACATTTCAATGACAGCAAAGAAGTAGGAGGATACTGGTGACAAACATTCGAGTTTCACACCTGGCACCACAAGCTCCACATGTTGATGGAAAAGTCATCACCTATTCAGTATAATAGTGTGACAAATAAAATGGATTTGAGAAAACAGATGTAAACAAATCTCTTTCTGAAAGATATTGTACCTCTTCCGGTGCAGAGTAACGAAACAAAGCTTCAGCAATTTCTGCACTATTACCCTGAGCAATAGCTCGTTGACCTCCTCTTGCTCCAACTGATCCATGTGGCTCTCTTTTCAATTGGTCAGGGACTTGGTTTATTTCCTCCAATTCAGTGGTCACACCAGGTTCCCGAACTTGTGATGGATCAACAGCGTAACCTAATGATGCTTGTTGCTCAGGAGTTCGCTCGTAGAACTTAATAGTCAATGATGGGTCCGGAGATGGAGCTAACCTATTAGAAGTAAGTGAATTCTATTCAGACTAGAAGGAAAAACAACATATCTTTTCTAATCGAATAAAAAAAGAAGAAATAATTTCAATCATTTTAGACCGAGGAATCACAACAAGAATGACTCGCAAATATCAAAATGAAGACCTTGATTAAATTATTTTGTCCCATAGGGCACACACAAACTGACTTAAGCACTTTACTTTGTACCAGATGAAACTATGCTGCTTATCAAATTCTCTTACAATAGAAACCACACATATATTAGCCTGCACTGTGCAATCATTCCCAAAAGAGGAAGTAGGGGGAAGGCAAGCAACAACTATTTGTTTTTTAAACCTAACTCCACCTAAAGCATAAACTCATAGAACAAATAATCAAATTTCCAAAAACCTAAATTTTCTTTTAGATTAAGTGTCTCTTACGGGTTCTCAATGAAGCTGTTGCCAGCAGGATCATCAAGACTGAAGGTAAACGATGAATCTCCAGATGCGCAAGCTTTCAATTTTACCAAGAACATGTCTATTGCTTCAGCAGTCTGAGGATCCACTTCCTGGAAAGCACAGTAGACAGACTACTGAGGTACCCCAAGAAGGAGGAAAAAAGAAAATTCAGTGACATCAAACTAAGGTGCACCTTTCGCTCTACTTGTAGGGCTTGTAGTTCATCCACAGCTCTTACTAATATTCCTTCCACCTAGAAACAAATACAACAACTATGACTGTAAGAGAAGAGATAATAGTCTATTTAACATCATGTAAAAAATACGGTAACTAGATTGGAAAGGTAACAGAAGTTCTAGCACCAACTTGCTCAAATAAAATCATCAACTTGATGCCTAAAGTGCTCAGCTGCTCTAAACTAAGGCAACCTCCTCAAATAATATACGAAACCTAGTTGAACTGACAAATCAGGCAAAGGTGTCAACATAATTACTTTCAATAGCTAATCCAAGTACAAAGAGGACTAGCAGCTTCAGGCTTCTGTTCGACCAAAATCATACTTTTTGAAAATATTGGATATCAATTTAAAAAAAAAATTATACCAAAGTTAAAGTTAATGACCAATTACGGGAACAGAGAAAAGAGACATTATCATCCTATGGTAGAAAGAGCAGAACCTTTGGGCAAGCATCTTATCTGATATTCTTCCTTTGGAAATCACTATGGAGCTATGTTTAGTATTTGTGTATCAATAAGCAATGCCAAGAGCTCCACGACTTTCAAGTATCATGTATCAATTAATAAAGCAAGAACTTCTCTAACAATAAAAAGTCAATGATAGCGAGGACAAATTGCAGCTCCTTAACAAGGCAAAGGATGATCTCAGTTATTCTTGCAAAAAATGCTGAACACCGACTCCATTTTCAAGGTAACTTTCCACATATTGACCGACCTCTCATATCGATGTTTCCGTGAGTGAATAAGCCATGTGTGAGAGAGATACAAAGAGCATCAATCGAAGGTATAAATGTTTCTTGTCCCAAAAAATGAATAGAAAATGAAATAACCATAAGGACATTGTGTTTCTATTTTTGCTAGCCTCTTTATCACCTCTTGCAGCAGGATAGAATTTATCAGACGTAATATTTAACAGTAAGATCACTAAATTACACAAAGTTACAGGAATGGATAACAATTTTGAACAAGACGAATAGCTCATGAACGTGAAATGACTTGATAAAAGGATGATGATGCCTTTGTTTTTTTTCTTTTTTTTTTTGGGGTGGGGGAAGGGAAGAAGTGGGGGAGGCATAAGTCAGAAATACTGCAGAGGATATGAATAGAAAGGCAAGTTAATGGAAGATACTGTTGATAAAGATCCACGCTGAGCCTCTGGAGGGATCTCAAAGTCCAGTTCAGGAATCTGCACACCCATACAAATTGCTGAGATAAATTGCAAATTCGTATATGTAAAGCATGAACATTTTCACCATTGTAAGCATAAAGCATGAACACCAATGTCAAAGTTGTATGTTTTTATTTTATATCTCAACAGTTAACCTATATTTTTAATATTGTGTGTAGTTACATAATCTACACCTCAAGAGTCGAGATACATTTTACATTATCAAATGGATATAAAGGGGAAAATGAGGAGCAAAACTGATAAAAACTAATAATCATTCACAAGAGAAGTCAAATTTAAACATTCCACTTCTTGACATCTACCGTTAAGAATAAAGAAGGTAGTTAGAAGACTTCTTAGAAAACGGCATTCCAAGCGTGCATGCCATCATTTATCATGGCACAAGTTCTGCTAGACGAGCTACATCAACATTTATGAAAGAGCATTTCCCCACTTCACCCAACCAAGTTCAGCTTATGAGCAGCATGGTTTTTACTCAAACCATCCTCAGAGGCTTTCCTATCATGACACTATTCAGGGGAAAACTATATTAGAAAAGGGCAAAGCATCAAAATTATGAATTTATGCCAACAAAAATGTGTTCAAAGTGCAGCTTAGGCCATAGGCCAATAATATATAAATGCACAGACATTGCTGCAAGGTTTTTCTGAAGTAGTTTTCTGCATGCATAACATAGGAAAAGCTTTGGAAGCAGACACAAAAAAACAATCGCACACAGGAGCATAACAATTTGCAGCAAGATGACTACAAACAAGAAGGGAGAGAGAACCCCACACTTAATGATGCATTATGGCTCAAGNGTTTCTTCACATTACAAAAATTCTTTTTGATTTGTTCATTTGCCTTGTCCATTGCCTAGTAAATATACCTCATGGCAGGCTTTAGATCCCCATCTACAAGCCTCAACACCTTCACCAATGACAACACACACTTCAAGCAATACTTGATTGATCCCCAAAAATTTTGGTCAGCTCCTATAATATCCATCACTTTTACACCATCTCCCTTCTTACAATATTGACTTCTCTGTCATTCCTCAGAATCAAACATTGCTCTAAGCCCAATTTTATTTTCAAATAAACTCCTTAAAGTTAAATATGAGGTGGCAAATTTGGTCACACAAGCTCTCACCAAATCCCTTTTCTTTGTATACTTTCTCATAAGATTTAACACCCAAGAATGTCTATAAATGTAAACTGTGATTTTCCTTGCCTTTGACATTATATCCTTGTGCAGAGGAAGGTCCCCAATATCCGTCAAAATGAGATCTAGACAATGTGCAACGCAGGGAGACCAAAACAACTTTTTCCTCTTTGTCATTAACAACTTCCCAGCTTTTACATAAGCCAATGCACTATCAGTTACAACCTGAACAACATTATCCTCACCAATCTCTTCTACCATTGAATCTAAAAGCTCAAAAAGATTATCCGCATTCTTACAAATACCTGAAGTATCAATACTTTTAAGAAACACACTTCCTCTAGGACTATTCACTAAAAAATTAGTGATAGAGCGATGTTTCCCATCAGTCCATCCATCAGACATAAGAGTACAACCCGTNGTTTGAGCGATGTTTTCCATCAATCCATCCATCAGACATAAGAGTACAACCCGTCTTTCTCCACTCTGTTTTTATAATTTTTCATCGACCCACCATTAATCAAATTTGTTTCTTTTTTCAAAAAAGAACATTTCACCTCATGATACGATGGAGGTTTCAATCCCTTACCAAACGATGCAACAGATTCTAACATTCTTACAAAATATGGATCCTTTACCAAATTAAAAGGAAGGGCATTAGCATAAAAACATCTACAAATATCCAAGCATACATCTTCCCTACCCTTTTTCTTNATAGATTCTAAAATTATTACAAAATATGGATCCTTTACCAAATTAAAAGGAAGGGCATTAGCATAAAAACATCTACAAATATCCAAGCATACATCTTCCCTACCCTTTTTCTTNACGATGCAATAGATTCTAAAATTATTACAAAATATGGATCCTTTACCAAATTAAAAGGAAGGGCATTAGCATAAAAACATCTACAAATATCCAAGCATACATCTTCCCTACCATTTTTCTTCAACATGGTATTCAAAGTAATTGTGGTGGTTGGTTGTATTTTATCAGCAGTAGTACCAGTGTTATTTAAGGCGTAAAGCGAACCGAAGCGACCAAGGCTCCTAACGCCTAGGCGAGAAGCGAGAAGCAAAGCGACACGCTTTACCGAAGCAAAGCGAACAATTAAAAAAAATATATATTTTACTTTAATTACTTCTAAACAATCTAAGTTCTAATTTTATATATACTAAATATTTAAATGCAAGTAAAACCATAAACATTTAAATTAAAACAAACACTAATAATATCTCAAATCTTAATAACAGTCATAACTTAAACATTTAAATTCAAACAAATACTAACAATTGTATACATTTTCATATTGACAGGGTAGGACAACAAAAGAAGCAGAATCAGGACAACAGCAGAATTAGCAACAAAAAAAAAAGAAGTAGAATGAGGATAAAAAAAAATAAAAGCAACACAGGACAGCAAAACCGAAGCAGCAACAGAATAAAAAAAAAAAAATAGAAGCAGAATGAGTTAAAAAAAAAACAGAAGCACAATGATCATGACAGGAGCAGAATCAATTGTAAACAATTTCATATGTAATTATATACTGAATAAAAAAAAGCAGAACAGAGGCACATTTCACATGTACTAAAATAATTAAACATGGTATAAGCATAGACCACTTTTTGGTACCATTTGTATATATATAAGAAAAGGGAAAAGTATAACCAAGACATATCAGAGACACTTCTTTGTAGAAGAATTTATTATTTACCCCCATTTCTGATACTCCTGCTTTATTTTTTTATCATAATTGTCATGCAGTGTAGTCGCCTGACTCCCACATCCCACAAATATTCTAAATGAATTCAGCAACACAAGGAAAAAAAAGGAATGTGTTTTGTTCGAAACATTGTTTTTTAAAAAAAAAAAAAAAAATAGACCAGCAATAGTCTAAAAAAAAAGTCATTAGTGATTAAAAAATAAAAGAGACTACAAACCTATAATCAAAAAAAAAAAAAAAAGTGAAGCAGAATCGCTTTTTATAATAAAGCGTTCGCTTTTTCGCTTTTTTCGCTTCTTCGCTTTTTCTCGCTTTTTTCTCGCTTCGCTCACGTTCGCTTCGCCTGGGGTCCTCCAGGCGAGATAAGCTCGTCTCGCCTCGCTTCTCGCCTAGGCGAGCTTTTCAAAACACTGAGTAATACTACCCACACTGCCACTACTTTTCGAATCCACAAGACTCATATATTTGCTAATTGCCCTATCATTCAATAATTGCTTAAAAAATTCAATTACTTCCTCAGGGCAATGCTTACACGCTGCTACATCTCTGCGATTACCTGCCAAATAATTTTTCATTCTTGAACTGCCTCTCCAATAGACATATGCACAATGAATGCATTTGAATTTCAACCTTGATCCTTCTACTTTGTCACAATGTTCCCATGTGGGATCATTAGCAAGTTTTTTAGTCATTTCTATATGAAAATTGAATGCCGGTGATGCCACTGTTGCACAAAATTAAAATTAATCAAGATTAAAAAAAATTTATACAAAAAAAATATATATACATTTGGCTTTGTAAATAAATTAATATTATTTCTCACTACACAGAACCAACAATCAATGGAGACTGGGAAGAAGAAGAAAAAGAAGGAGTACCTAGAGAAGGAAGAAGGTAGCGATCAACGATCACCCACAGTCGGAGACCAGCAATCACCCACAGACGAAGACCAGCAATCACCCACAGTCGAGACCACCCATAATCGATCATCACCCACAGTCGAAGACCACCCACAATCAATCACCACCCACAGTCGATCACTCGTCGTCGATGGCTGAAGAGAAACCAGAGGCCTCTGAGTCTCTGACTAGCGATGAGCGAAGGTCGAATACGAGAGAAATGAGGAATTTTTTTTTTTGTAACCCTAACCACTAAAACGACATTGTTTCAGTGGTTATAGGGATTAAAAAAATAAAATCAGATCACAAAACGACATCGTTTTTAAAAAAAAAAAAAAAATTGCACGTATCGTGTATCGGATGATACAACGCAAAAACGATATATAACTACGATCCGTATCGTTTTAGGCCTTTATCGTAACATACCGTACGATACGTATCGCGTCTCGTACGATACTAACAACTATGCTCCTAAGAAGATATGATCTAGCCTTCTAAAAGTGCACTACAATCAAGATCAAGCATTGCTTAATGCGTAAAATCATCTTTCGGACTGCCCAGCCCATACAAGATCCAACATTGAACCCCAGCTGCAACCCACCAAGATAACTTCCCAGAATTTAAAAATGGAACAGGGAATTTTACAATGCTTCCAAGTTCCCAAGCACAAAGGCAGTCTAATGTGGAGCATACTAACAAGCAGCATAATTCTGGAATTTTATGAATGAAACGCTTCAGAATGTCTGAGACAACGTTTAGTGTTATATCTTCTATGATGTTTAGGACTGATAAACCACTGAATTATTTTCTTTACGTTCTCTCTCTTTTGTCAGATATTTTAGAGGCAATTGTTCTTTACTCCTCCAATAATTGATGGACCTGTGCTGTATTTATAGGATACGGGTCATATGTTGGGTAAAATCAAGTTACTAGGTTGTCCTTCAAGTGTCTAGAATAGGCCTCAGTGTCGTGCGAAACAAAGAGTATCACCCTTTGTAATGGCACAAGCGTGTTGTACAATTAAAATTATTCTTGATAAGTAGATTTGACTATTTCTAGCTCTCTGGCTATAAATGGTCCTTTATGAGCTTTTAAAATATTTTCTAGGCCCTTACCACTGCCCCAGTCGTCATTTTTCGCCGCTCAGCATTATTCCTTCTGGAAACATTCTGTATTGCTAATAGACACCCTACACTGCAAACCCATGGATCTGTACAATGGACACATTTGCAGGCACTCGGGCAAGACACACATAAACNGCACACACAAACTGACTTAAGCACTTTACTTTGTACCAGATGAAACTATGCTGCTTATCAAATTCTCTTACAATAGAAACCACACATATATTAGCCTGCACTGTGCAATCATTCCCAAAAGAGGAAGTAGGGGGAAGGCAAGCAACAACTATTTGTTTTTTAAACCTAACTCCACCTAAAGCATAAACTCATAGAACAAATAATCAAATTTCCAAAAACCTAAATTTTCTTTTAGATTAAGTGTCTCTTACGGGTTCTCAATGAAGCTGTTGCCAGCAGGATCATCAAGACTGAAGGTAAACGATGAATCTCCAGATGCGCAAGCTTTCAATTTTACCAAGAACATGTCTATTGCTTCAGCAGTCTGAGGATCCACTTCCTGGAAAGCACAGTAGACAGACTACTGAGGTACCAAGAAGGAGGAAAAAAGAAAATTCAGTGACATCAAACTAAGGTGCACCTTTCGCTCTACTTGTAGGGCTTGTAGTTCATCCACAGCTCTTACTAATATTCCTTCCACCTAGAAACAAATACAACAACTATGACTGTAAGAGAAGAGATAATAGTCTATTTAACATCATGTAAAAAATACGGTAACTAGATTGGAAAGGTAACAGAAGTTCTAGCACCAACTTGCTCAAATAAAATCATCAACTTGATACCTAAAGTGCTCAGCTGCTCTAAACTAAGGCAACCTCCTAGTTGAACTGACAAATCAGGCAAAGGTGTCAACATAATTACTTTCAATAGCTAATCCAAGTACAAAGAGGACTAGCAGCTTCAGGCTTCTGTTCGACCAAAATCATACTTTTTGAAAATATTGGATATCAATTTAAAAAAAAAATTATACCAAAGTTAAAGTTAACGACCAATTACGGGAACAGAGAAAAGAGACATTATCATCCTATGGTAGAAAGAGCAGAACCTTTGGGCAAGCATCTTATCTGATATTCTTCCTTTGGAAATCACTATGGAGCTATGTTTAGTATTTGTGTATCAATAAGCAATGCCAAGAGCTCCACGACTTTCAAGTATCATGTATCAATTAATAAAGCAAGAACTTCTCTAACAATAAAAAGTCAATGATAGCGAGGACAAATTGCAGCTCCTTAACAAGGCAAAGGATGATCTCAGTTATTCTTGCAAAAAATGCTGAACACCGACTCCATTTTCAAGGTAACTTTCCACATATTGACCGACCTCTCATATCGATGTTTCCGTGAGTGAATAAGCCATGTGTGAGAGAGATACAAAGAGCATCAATCGAAGGTATAAATGTTTCTTGTCCCAAAAAATGAATAGAAAATGAAATAACCATAAGGACATTGTGTTTCTATTTTTGCTAGCCTCTTTATCACCTCTTGCAGCAGGATAGAATTTATCAGACGTAATATTTAACAGTAAGATCACTAAATTACACAAAGTTACAGGAATGGATAACAATTTTGAACAAGACGAATAGCTCATGAACGTGAAATGACTTGATAAAAGGATGATGATGCCTTTGTTTTTTTTCTTTTTTTTTTTGGGGTGGGGGAAGGGAAGAAGTGGGGGAGGCATAAGTCAGAAATACTGCAGAGGATATGAATAGAAAGGCAAGTTAATGGAAGATACTGTTGATAAAGATCCACGCTGAGCCTCTGGAGGGATCTCAAAGTCCAGTTCAGGAATCTGCACACCCATACAAATTGCTGAGATAAATTGCAAATTCGTATATGTAAAACATGAACATTTTCACCATTGTAAGCATAAAGCATGAACACCAATGTCAAAGTTGTATGTTTTTATTTTATATCTCAACAGTTAACCTATATTTTTAATATTGTGTGTAGTTACATAATCTACACCTCAAGAGTCGAGATACATTTTACATTATCAAATGGATATAAAGGGGAAAATGAGGAGCAAAACTGATAAAAACTAATAATCATTCACAAGAGAAGTCAAATTTAAACATTCCACTTCTTGACATCTACCGTTAAGAATAAAGAAGGTAGTTAGAAGACTTCTTAGAAAACGGCATTCCAAGCGTGCATGCCATCATTTATCATGGCACAAGTTCTGCTAGACGAGCTACATCAACATTTATGAAAGAGCATTTCCCCACTTCACCCAACCAAGTTCAGCTTATGAGCAGCATGGTTTTTACTCAAACCATCCTCAGAGGCTTTCCTATCATGACACTATTCAGGGGAAAACTATATTAGAAAAGGGCAAAGCATCAAAATTATGAATTTATGCCAACAAAAATGTGTTCAAAGTGCAGCTTAGGCCATAGGCCAATAATATATAAATGCACAGACATTGCTGCAAGGTTTTTCTGAAGTAGTTTTCTGCATGCATAACATAGGAAAAGCTTTGGAAGCAGACACAAAAAAACAATCGCACACAGGAGCATAACAATTTGCAGCAAGATGACTACAAACAAGAAGGGAGAGAGAACCCCACACTTAATGATGCATTATGGCTCAAGAAACTGCATCCCACTTAACCCACTCTAAGCAACACCCAAATTTTACAGCACACTATCACGTTAAGCAATATATCCCAACCTGCCGTGCACTCAGGCCAAAGTCCCCAAATAGATAATTTCTTACAAAGAATTTTGGTATGCCCATAGATTGCAAAACATAAGGGTGGTTGCACGAGGCTCCCCTCATTGAGGGGTATATGGTAGGCGGTCTTATCCCCATTTTACAAGACCTCTCAAGATAGACACTATTGACGCACCTGTGAGTGTAAGAAGCTTTTACATTTCAAAAAATTTGTCACATCCTCCCCCCAAGAAAGAAAAAAAGACAACAGGAAACATTAAATAAAATCAGAGAATTAATTCCAGGTACAATCTTACCATCCTCCTAGGAAGTAGCTTCCTTTCTTCTTTTTAGTTTTTTAACTGGTCAAAGAGTGGCTTCATTTCTTCTCACACAAGAATGCACCAGAATTAATTACTTCAAAATCATTCAAATACACAAAATATGCAAAGCACAATTCAACACAATCCACCAGATTACCATCACCTAGTTCATTCAATGCCAACTCCAAGTGGATTCAATATAAGCCAGAGGTTGCTAAAGACGTTTCAAACCAAATCTGATAAGAACTAAAAATTAGAGCCACCTCCACTAGGGTGAACCAGAAAATGCACAAGCTGCTGAAATCAGTCATCAGTATGGAGTCCGTACTAATTTGCAATAGATCTTATATTTTTTGCATCATGTCTTAGTTCTTTCTTTTGACATATCATCTTGTGGCTCTTCTTCTTCTCTTAAAAATTTATACCCCTGGCCCCAGCAGCAGTGGCCCAGGCTGGATTTGATCTTAATATTCTTGATTCCATACAAAGTCACCTTTCAAAAGAAAAAAACTCATGAAACTCTCAGTTTAGAAATTAAAAACAACTGTGATAGCCATACAAATCCAATATAGGAATCAGTGAGAATTTTGTTAATGAGCATGGCTCAACTAAGGTTAAGGTTTTCTTCAACTGGAGCCCAGCGACGTACCTTAATAGTAGCAGTTTCTGATTTCACGACTTGACGATTGAACATCTGCATTGAAGAACTCCATCAATCTAGAACTCTTGAAGATGCACTCAAAACTTGGGTAAAGAACTGGAGTGATCATAGAATTATAATATATTTTATTTCCACACCCAACAAGAGGAAGANTCCATCAATCTAGAACTCTTGAAGATGCACTCAAAACTTGGGTAAAGAGCTGGAGTGATCATAGAATTATAATATATTTTATTTCCACACCCAACAAGAGGAAGATATACAGTTTGCTAAAAAAGGATTACAATTTTGTAACAACAAATCTACCAAAAGATGCAAGCAAATAGTAAACATATAACATAATAAATGTCGGCAAACACGATGAAGGAAGGAGCTTAGACGAATGTGAGAGTAACATTCTATAACCAAAAGGATTCTAAGGTAGAGAGTGAAAACACAGGAGAAGGTAACATTACTGTAAAACTACCCATGTTAGTAACTCCGTGCTTCAGGTAAAACAAGCAAACCCTCAATGAGATTGATAAATCTACAATTACAAATTCGGGGTATGGGGTATGGGGAATGGGGATGTTCACCTTTTGTAACAAATAGACCAATGATATGGACTAATAGATGTTCCTACTCTTTCCCGTAAGTAGATCTATTTATAGTTGGTCAAAAATCAGACTGGAAGACACCTCTAGTACATCACTTCCAAACTTGGCAGCCATTGTATCCGCCAAGGTAAAATACACATCTTAGTCAGCTATATCTTCTTAACAATAAGCTAGAAGTGGTGAAGACTGGAAAATATGTTTAAATATCTTGAGGGATATTTCCTCAATTCCATGAAAGCATAGTAATATGTCCAAAAACCCAGATTTAGAACAGCCATCAAAAAAAGATAAACATACAGATTTCATTATAAACCACAGTTCGTTACAATAGCCAAAGTAAGATTAATCAGCAACAAACTATTATCCACTCCAATTGCTGTGAGCTGGTTTATTAATCATGGTGCTACAAAAAACCTTTTTTTTCCAAGAAGTGTAACTAAAATCTTTCAAAGCAACATCTATACTCTAGGAAGTGGGAAGATATCATCCCTTATTTATGCTGTGAAATGCAATAGGTATTACACTTCTCAGTTCCATAGCCGGCTAGACCATAAGGCCACCGAAGCGGGCAATTTAGGCCCCGCTCAAGATAAAGGCCCCATATTTTTTTATATGTCAATAATAAAATTGAAATTCCTACCAAAACAATTATATAACTAAATTAGACTCCGGTATTACTATAAAAGTTCAAGCGTAGAAAACAGACCCAATTAAAATGTAAGCGCGTGAAAATAAATATAAAATTAGACTCAAAATGTCCATTACTAGTCACATTTGATATGAAAAAAGTCTTGATCGATCATCATTATTTCTTTTTTTCCTAAAAATGTGCTTTTGTCATGTAAGTCATACAGAATTGAGAATCGATCAATTCACTACTCCCCACCCCTTCTCTCTCTCTCTCTTTGAGCACTTAAATAACCTATTTTCGAAGTGCAGTATTGAATAAGATAACAAGATTAGAGTATTTTGAAAACTCATGCATTGTTNCTTCTCTCTCTCTCTCTTTGAGCACTTAAATAACCTATTGTGCAGTATTGAATAAGATAACAAGATTAGAGTATTTTGAAAACTCATGCATTGTTTACAATGTATTATTGACATTACTAGTGATAGTTGCGTCTATACAAAAGCAATTTAACCTTCCTAAGATGATTGTGTAATAAAAAAGATTAAGTGGTTTAACCATACTATTGATAAAAAAGAACACGTTGGCAAAATTTGAATTAAAAGAACAAGATGAATAATTATTAATTGACAAAAGAAAAAGTCATATTTAAAGTTATCGCTGTAGGCTTCAAATTGTCTTGAGCCAGCCCTGCTCGGTTTTTTTCATTTTCTTTCTTTCTGTCTTTTTTTTTCTAGGAGTTCTCTGGTACACTATAAATATCACGTAAGTACATAGCCATGCTATAATGGTAACCCCTACTTTATATTAAGGCCCAAACTTTCAGTTACAAAATGACAAAACAGAATTATATGATACGATGTGCATAACTTCGTAAGATGATGTAAAGGGCTTTTGATCAAATAATACACTGGACTTATCACAACCTTTTGATCACCAGAAGGAATGTCAAGGCAATAATAACACCCATGGGGCTGGATCTCACCAGCAAACTGCACTTCATTGTTCCTACCAAAAGAACAAGCAAAAAACATTCAGAAATTACGAAAAAAGATCGATTGACCGAATGGAACTTGTAATCCTCGCGTCCTTAGAAAGAATTAAGTATGTACCTACCTCTCACCACAATGCGGACATTCAAAGGCGGATAACAAGACCTGCAGTAAACAATTTCTAATATACGTAGAGATCACTTATACTATAACCCAAAATCAAGTTAACACAATTGCGCATAAACTCACAAACAATGACATGCTTCAAACAACCAAATCTTGATATTGAGCACTAATAAATCTGGTGGTGTCCTAATTATCACAGTACAGTTTAACCATGGTCTTAAAGCTAAAGAAATGTGTCAATAGAAAAAATAAATTATGGAAATAGTTTACATGCAACAATTACTGTTCAAAAATTGCATAGAATGATATCTAATAGAGATTACGAAAGCAAGAGCATACCTTCCTAAAATGAGGAATCAACGTTAATAAAAACCTGGTTATTCCCTGTGAACACCAACCACAACCATGTAGATAAAACTTACATTAGTAATCAAACTCCAGAAATGAGCACTTACACCATTACATCTAACTCACTAGAAAAAGGGCCAAATCAAACCAGTGTAATAAACAAAAAATGTTAGAACAGAAATACACAACTAAAAGGAAACGATAGAATATTATTAAAATGAAAAAAAGAAAATAGTACATGAGGAGTCCTCAATAGATACATAAAAAGAAAAAGAAATCCAAACAAGTCAAACCCTTCAACTATACCTACCTTTAATAAAGTGTACTTGGGCCCAAATTACAGCCAACACTGCATATCTCCATAGAGCTTTGGCTTTTGGACTTGAACCAAAGCCATCTAAATTCATGCTAAGCACCAAATCACAGCTACAATTTTTTTTATAAGAAACAAAATGTTCTTTGATTGATCGCAAAGAGAGCAAAGTAGTGGTAAGTAATCCACTAGTACAAGAGAATCAAAACAAATACTTTGAAAATGTTACATAACTATCAAACTAAAAACAGCCTTTCATCTAGCCACATGCAGCGATCCAACCAAGAATAAGTGAAAAAAAATGGGATGCTGTTAAGTCCATTTGTAGTCAAGGCCCAAAGAAGTGCCAAAAATTCAAATCACTGCTACTTCAAACCATCCAAGGGATCCCCACGATACCTAAGAGTCTATTCCACAACTTTGAAACAAAAGTACAATGAAGGAACAAATGTTCCATGCATTCCAAATTTTTCTTACAACGGATGCACCACTGTGGTTGAAGAGAATATGACGACCTCCTATTTTGAAGCAACTCATTAGTATTAAGTTTCTTATGTGCAATCAACCATGTAAAGATTTGTACCTTCAAAATTGTCTTACTCTTCCAAACAAAAGAAAAGGTTCAAAGAATGGAAGAGATATCTATTAAAGATTCACAAAAAGATTTGCAAGAATACGCACCCAAAGAAGAAAGGTTTCATCTTATTCTATCCAGTGAATCTATTCTTAAACAATATTGTCAAGAATACCCAAGAGAGAAGACAATTCAACCACTTCACTATCTCTCAAGTTTCTAAAGAAATTAAAGTTCCAAGTATTGACGGAGGAAGACGAGGAAACCATATTAGTAATGGAAGAATAATGAGACCTAGATAATCGATATAAATGAGGTAACAAGGATGCAAATGAAGACTCTTCNTATAAAGAAATTAAAGTTCCAAGTATTGACGGAGGAAGACGAGGAAACCATATTAGTAATGGAAGAATAGTGAGACCTAGATAATCGATATAAATGAGGTAACAAGGATGCAAATGAAGACTCTTCCACCTAAATACCTTCCAAAAGCGAAGTTTCTCCCTATTACCAATAACATCCTTATAATTTTGAGAAAAGAGGAACAAACCTTGAGAAATGGATTTCAAAGGACATCAAGAACCTCCCCTCTCACTCACATTAGAATCTCACCTCTTGTTATGAATTTCATATTTGCTCTTGATCACTAAATGCCAAAGACTACTATGCTTAATGGGAAATCTCCGAATCCATTTACCAAGTAAAGAAATATTTTCAGCTTTTTGGTTATCCAATGCAAGACCTCCCTTAATTTTGAATCGAGACACCACATCCCAACTAACTAGAAATCTTTATTGCCCTCTCATTACCTTCTCATAAAAAAATTTCCTCATCATCTCAATTATTTTCTCTAACTTCAAAGACAACCAAAACAAAGGGCAAGTAGTAGGTTGGAATACTACAAATCATCAAATAAGTTAGAGTGAGACTACCCCCTAGACAAAAGAGCTTTCTTCCACCCCCCAAGCCTTTAACCAATTTTGTAAATCACATGCTCCCAAAAACTAAAGGCTTTTGAATTCTCCCAAGGGAAAATCCAAATACTTTGGAGGCCACCACCAAAAAGAGCTACCTAAAGCATTAGCCAATCAAACCAACTTATCTTGTTCCACATTGATTCAAGCAATTTCACTTTTAGAAAAATTCACTTTAATGTCCGATACCATTTCAAAACATTCAAAACTGAAGCAATTGAGTGAATGTTCTTTTCATCCCCATCAGAAAATAAAATGGCATCATTTGCGATCACCTTGCCAAAGACGTCCAGTAGCCTTAGACATCTAGTAGCCTTAAAGCATTCTTTCGAAGCTCCATTGATAAAGACAGAGATATTCATTGAGTTAAAACATCTCATAATCTACTTTCTACATCTCAATTCAAATCCTTTTCTATTCACACATATTTCAAAAAGCCTCAATTCACCTTATCATTAGCTTTTACAAAATCCTCTCTATATTCTTCACCTATTTCATTTGCAACAAACACTAAATCTAAAATTTGCCTACCTTTGGATCCCAAAATAGTCTCGTGTAACACCTCCCTAATTCCCCTAGAACAGACTTTAGCCAAAATCTTATAAAGACTATAGAGACCAAGCAAATTGACCGTAAGCACTTAACCAAAGAAGATCTCCCCTTCTTGGAAATATGATAAATAAATGTGGCAGTGTGGCACCATTGCAAGAATCAACTTCACCATTCTCAAAGAACTCTTTAAAAACTTCCAAGAAATCTCCTCTTGCCTCAACACCACACTTTTAAGACATAAGCATAGTAAAGACATCATGGACAATCTTTGAGATGATGAGACTCTCACACTCAATCACTTCCTTAACTCAGTCTCAATCCAACTTCTTCTTCATTTTGTCATTAGCAACTCTATGAAACAAGTTAAGAGTTACTATCACCCTCCTTAATCCACTTAACTTTCATCTTTTGTCTCCAACTTATTTTTTCTTCACCCATACACATTTTTCTCAAAGATCACACCTTCCCGAAAAGCCAGTACTCATTTTATTTTGCTGACAAGTAAAGAAGCCAAATGTTCAGATCATGCACTCACCCAAAATTCCAAATTCAAGCATCAAAATCCTCATATCCAAGTAAAATAACTACATCTCTTGGGTGATACCCACTGAAACTCACTTGCAGAACTTGGGCCCCATGTTCTAGTAATAGCATTTATCCCTTATAGAAGTACGGGTCCCTAATTCACAAATCCCACTTTAGGTCCCCAAAGAGTAAAACTTTCCCAATACCCCACCCCTTTCTTTGGTGAATGACTCATGCTACACCACTGATCGTACTTAAATATCAGAGAGTATGCAAACAATTCATTTCATCCTCAGAAGTCGACATATTAAATATGTTCAAATTCATAGAAGTTATTTTGTGTCGTAATCCGCTCCCAAAACATGGTGTTCAAGTATTTTAATAAAAAAGAGAGTAAGGAAAAGCTTGTATTAATTGAAAAAACTTGATCCTACATCAGAAAAACTTCAAAACTTAAAAGAGTTTATACAGCAAGTGGCTGGGCAGTTATCTAAAAGTGAGTTGCAACTTTATCCACATCTCAACCCTGACGTACTTCAATTGCCTTAGTGTGGTTCAACTTTGACAGCTAAATTCTTTTTTTTCTTCCAACACATGGCATAACCTCTATAGTCAAACACTGAACTCATTCAATAACCAATTAACTTCAACTGTACCATTCAAACTACAATAGATGATCCAAGAATGTTTGCCACTACTTGGGTTATTTGAAGGGTTGTTCTTCAAACATTAATCAATCAAAGTAGGATGTCAATGTAAGTGACTAGAATGAGAAGTTCCGGTGGTACACGTGTGTGCGTGTAGACGCGTACAAACACACACTAGCGGTCTTGCAATCTCTTCCCACCACAATCTCTACCCCCACCCCCTCCCTAAACCCATTACCGAGATAAATTAGTTTTTTCAAAAAATATATAAATGTGAAGTAATTAACAAAAACGCTAAATGATTTTTATTTTTATTTTTATTTTTTTTGTCAATACACTGAATGATTCAAACATGGAATAGTCNAGCGAGATAAATTAGTTTTTTCAAAAAATATATAAATGTGAAGTAATTAACAAAAACGCTAAATGATTTTTATTTTTATTTTTTTTGTCAATACACTGAATGATTCAAACATGGAATAGTCAACACAAACGGAAGAATTTCGTAGGACAAGACCAACGCATTTTTTCTAAATAACTTAAAATTAAGAGAATGTAAGAGAGAGAGAGAGAGACTAAGAAACTGACGTTTTCGCCGCAACGCATACAGAGGCTTTCGACCTGGTAGAGAGGGGCGTCAAGGCTGTCGTCTTCGGCGGCAGAAATAGCTTCCACCACAGTCCTCACATCCACGATTTCGTCGCCTTTTGTTGCTGTTGTTGCTTCCATTGCCGGTNTCGACCTGGTAGAGAGGGGCGTCAAGGCTGTCGTCTTCGGCGGCAGAAATAGCTTCCACCACAGTCCTCACATCCACGATTTCGTCGCCTTTTGTTGCTGTTGTTGCTTCCATTGCCGGTTTATTGGTGCCTCAACTCCACTCAGTGGGGGATGGTACAGGGCCTGTATGGAAAAAGAAGGTGTTCTTATAGCATGAATAGCGTTATTGAAGAAATAGCCCGTTGTTTGTCTCCAGAAGAATCACGAAGCCCTTGGGCCCCAATTACAGTAGGGGGAATTTTTTTGGGCACATTATATTGTGTCCCCCTGACAATGATAATTTTTCACATTACCCTCTAGTTTATTATGTATTTTATATTATACCCTAATTATGTGATTAGTTTTACGTCGTTTAACCTAATTATGTGATTAGTTTCACATCATTTCAATTATTAACGTACGTTATAAATTTGATAAATTTATTTTATTTTATCTCTTAAACTATATGATTTTTTTATTTTGTCCTAACACATTGACAATTTTGGTTTTGGTTCAAATCAATGTTATCAGAATCGGACAGATCATCGAATCGACTAAGGGACTGGATCAATGGTTCACTGGTTCAATCGGAGGATCAACTGGCCAAACCGATCATATAATAAAAATATATATATATAATAATTATAAAAACATCATAATTTANTGGTTCAATCGGAGGATCAACTGGCCAAACCGATCATATAATAAAAATATATATATATAATAATTATAAAAACATCATAATTTAGCTAAAAAAAATATAAAGAGTAATCAAACTATAACTCTCCCACTACTTCTTTATGCCAACCCAACAACAGCCCACTCACAAATTCACTCCAATCCCTCATACCGAAAAGCACTGCACATATAGAAACTTCACAAAAAGGTATAAAGATTGTATCTTTTCATTCTATATTGAGAAAAAAAGTTCATGAAATAAATGCAAAAAAACAACAACATCTATTGAGATCGAGAGAGAAAGAGTGAGAGATTNAAAAAGTTCATGAAATAAATGCAAAAAAACAACAACATCTATTGAGATCGAGAGAGAAAGAGTGAGAGATTTGTTCACAAACAGTCATGGTAAGAATATATCTTTCACCAGATAAAAAAGAAAAGAAAAGAAAAATAGCTTGTGCATATTTTATGGCTAATGCATACTTTCTGTCTAAGAAAAACATAATTGTTTTTACCTTAATGTTACATTATGAGTTGATATAAGCAAATAAATGGAGGAGATAACAACAGAGATCAGGGGAGAGAGATCGCCTGAGTTATTTGCTAGTCACGCTAGTCGATGGTTGTTGCTCCCTAGTTGCTTATCAGTGGTTGCTACTCCCTAGTTGTTGATCAGTGGTTGTTGTTTCCTGGTATGCTAATCGCTGGTTATTGGTGGCTTCTGCAATTTAGGGCAAAGAGAATGGTTCATTGCTTTTTATTTGTCTTCAAACTGTCCGATTTTTTAAAAAATCACCAATTCATGAATTTTTATAAATATCGTCCAATTTTATGGTTTTTAACTGGCTCTTTTTTCTTATGCGGTTCAATTAGGAAAGGAAATTGGACCAGTTAAGGTCTTGGGGCATGGTTGAACCGATCCGATTCGGTTATGATAACACTTATTCAAATAGATAGCGAACTTTTTATTTTGGGATAATTTGAAATAATTTAAATAATTAAGGGGTAATATGAATAATTAATAATTTAAGGGGGAAAGTGAAAAAAAGTTCATAGTTTAGAGTGTGAAAGTGTAATCTTCCCAATTTTTTGTGGGAGGGAGAATTTTTGTTAATTAGTTTTATAAAATACAAAGAAACGANATTCGAGTCTACAAAGATGGTCAAGTTTAAAGATTTGGTGGGTTTTTGTTGGACTTTGGTCAATTGTAGTGGAAGATATCTGCATGTGTTGTGCGTGTGGGTACCAGGAGTGTGCTGCTTGCGTGTGCTCTGTGTGTGTTGGTCTTCAAAGTAAAGAGGGTGACTTAGACAGATCGACAAAGGGACTACAAGAGAGAGAGAGACAGCAGGTGATGAAATTTTTTTAGGCGAGAGAGAGATTGGGTGCAGGTGATGAATTTTTTAATTTTTTTTTTGGGGAATGATAGTTTAGTCATTTAAAAAAATGTTTTCAAGGCAAACTCTCAATTCTTAAGGGTGAGACGAACGGTCGGAAAATATAATTTTGAGATTTTGTCCGCTAAGCATCTGAGGATTATGTGGAAANAACTAGTGAATTTGGACGTAAGTTCGGGCATTACATAGATGGATCCATTAGACAAATTACATAAATGAATCAAACACGAATTAAATAAATTTTAGTACGATAAGAGCTTAACATAACATGACTTATTAATAGTCCTAAGTAAGAGGAGAAAAAGTGTGCTATACAACAATGNATTTCTAAGACATGGGGAAGTAAAAGTACATTTGAGGTACACCACATATGGTAAAGTAAAATTTGTCCAAAAAAAAATTGTGCACTATACTCAACATGTTTAGTATTTTAAGCCAATGTTTAGGACACGATTCAACTAGTACACAATACAAAGACGGTAGGCTGTAGACTGAAGAACATACCAGTTTTTACTGCTTACCACCATNAACGCGCGGAGGTCAAGCCGAAATCCTGAGTGGAGGGTTTCATCCCTTACAGTAAATGAGGTTGAAGAGATGGATTTGGAGTTAAGATGTCGGATTTTAGGCAACAGTGGTGAAGTGACTCTGGTCTTGTCAAAATAAACTAAGAGCAGGGGATCGGTGTGGTCATGGCAGAACCACCTTTGATGCAAAAGTCAATTTTGCCTAATAAATTGTTTATCAAATCAAGAGATAAAGAGAGATCGATTTTCTCTTAAGCAATTTTTCTTACCTTAACCCTTTATTTATGAGGGCTTTATATATAGTGTGTTGAGTGTGTTTTTAACTTTGAGGATTAATGATTTGCAGTAATCATTCATGGTTGAGGGTGTATAAAACTATTGTCAGATTCTTCCTCGTTGGCTTCATGCAGTTAGTGGCTGACATAGGTCGGTTATCTTGCCAATTGAGATTATGACTGTTCATTATGCTTTGAAGTCCGAACTGTAGTAAGAATTATATCCATTAGGTGATACAACCTAAAAGCAAATATTGCACGTGACAAGAGATTTTAAGTCATTCGTTGTGTCACGGAACTGTGTAGGCCGATTCAATGATAATAACTTAACAGTTTGGAATTGACTCAGATAACTCAACCTAGTCGTATGAGACTCGAGATTTATATGTATCGTATAATGATATCGTCTTGAAATGTGCTATATGAGTTTTAACTTAATCATAATTTTTGCAGTAGGCCATACGAGTTTTAATATTCAAAAGCATTACATAATAACTTCATTGTCTATAATATCGAGAGTATCATTTTATAAATCCAAACTCCTAGTCATCCATTAATCATTCATTCAGTTACTTAATTTATTTTTCACAATTTTTAGGGTTAATTATATTGGATGTTCCTAAAATATGAAATTTATTTTATTTTGATCATTAATATTTCAATTGTATTATTTTAGTGCCCTAAGTATTGAATATAATCTTATATGGTTTCTCAAACAAACATCGTCCCAATTGCTATCGATTTGTTATTATAAATTTGTTATGTAATACCTAAATATAGATAAAAAAATAATTTGAATAACTTTTGAACAATATATAATTTTTTTTGAAATATTTGAGGGTGGGCCCTGGCCCTTGGTGGATCTACCCTTGACCACGACTACACATAATGACGAATTATTTATCAAACTATCGTCCTTTTTAAACAAATATACCAAAATATAACATTTTTAAACTTATTTATCAAACTACAATACTTTTTTAAAAATGGAGTCAATAATTCCGCTTTTATTAAAAAACAGATTCAATATCCCCGCTTTTGTTAAAAAACGGGATCAATAATCCCACTTTTATATAAAAAACGTGGTCCAAAATAATGAACTGAAACACGTTAAAAGCGTGGTTACTAGCCACACTTTTTTAAAATGCGTGGTAAGTAACCAAGGGCGGAGCCACATAGGAACGAGAGTGAGCACTTGCCCCCCTCCCTGACTTTTTGAATCCATTGTTAAGGATGATAATTTTGGTTATTTTAATATATTTGCCCCCCTTATTTTTTGGAAATGTTTACAATAGTCTTAGTTTTTCTTTTCAATTTTTGATAAGTTAGTGTGACTCATTACCCCCTCCAAAAAAAAATCAATGTTTTAGTTTATGGATCGAGTACAACAACAAAGTAAATGATGATTTCAACTAGATTTCTCAATATAAAATGAATAATAATTTTATCACGGATAAGGTAGTTTTGTACATTATAGAAAATTACTAAAGATTTAGTTTATCATCAATTTATTGTGTATAAATTTTAAGATTTGAAATAATATCGTCTTCTATGTTAATATGTGGTTTGAGTTGAAATGTACTANTTGAGGTACACCACATATGGTAAAGTAAAATTTGTCCAAAAAAAAATTGTGCACTATACTCAACATGTTTAGTATTTTAAGCCAATGTTTAGGACACGATTCACTAGTACACAATACAAAGACGGTAGGCTGTAGACTGAAGAACATACCAGTTTTTACTGCTTACCACCAATTTTGGTGTTTAATCAGAAACATATTCATGAACACTCGACAACACCGAAATGAGTAATGTGTTTATCAAAAAATATTTATCAAATGAATATAGATAATTAAATCAGTAAGTCCCACCAAAAAGTTAGTGGGACCTACTAATCTCATAGTCCGCACTGACTGAAAAAAAAATGGCAAGTGCATTATTGCTCAGAATGAAAAATTATGTGGTCATAGCTGAAAATTTTTGCTAATCATAATCAATTTGCAAATTCCGGTGAGAAGAAACCACAAAGAATGAGCAAAGATACTTTTACAATATCTTAAAAAATTAAATCAAATGGCATGTAAATTTGCTCTC